CTCCTCCTCCTCTCTCAGGCCTGTACACTATCTCTCATGTACTCCTCCTCCTCTCTCAGGCCTGTACACTATCTCTCATGTACTCCTCCTCCTCTATCCCAGGTGCCTAGGTTCCTCTGGGACTCTGCCACTCAGGGGCTGCTGCTGGGCGCTTTCTTCATTGGCTACATCCTGACCCAGATCCCTGGGGGTTACCTGTCTGGCCACCTGGGGGGTCGCTGGTTCCTGGGAGGGGGCGTGCTGGGCACTGCTGTCCTCACCCTCCTCACCCCTCTTGCTGCCCAGATGGGGGTCCCCTGGCTGTTTGCACTGCGAGCGATGGAGGGCTTTGGAGAGGTGAGGGGTGAGGGAGAAGAGATAGGGGGGTATCAAGGAGAAGAGAGGGGCAGGAGTCTCTGTGTGGGTCCAGCGGTCCTGCCGGGACACTGACCGGTCCAGTTCAAGGAGAAGAGAGGGGGCGGGAGTCTCTGTGTGGGACCAGCGGTCCTGCCGGGACACTGACCGGTCCAGTTCAAGGAGAAGAGAGGGGGCGGGAGTCTCTGTGTGGGGCCAGCGGTCCTGCCGGGACACTGACCGGTCCTGTCCAGTGGCTGGCTCTCTGTAGTGACGTGCCGTCTCCCTGTCCGCAGGGCGTGACTTTCCCTGCCATGATGGCGATGTGGGCCTGCTGGGCACCCCCCCTGGAGAGGTCGCGGCTCATTTCCTTCTCTGGCGCCGGGTCCAATTTTGGTGCCTTTGTAGCTCTGCCCCTGACCGGCTTCATCTGTCGCACTCTGGGCTGGCCAGCTGTCTTCTACTGCTTTGGTGAGGAGTACACACTGACCCTGGTACTGGTACTAGTACTGATCCTGACCCTGTTTCTGTCCTTGGTACTGGTACTGACCCTGAACCTGGTACTGTCCCTGTCCCTGGTAGTGGTACTGTCCCTGTCCCTGTCCCTGCCAGGCAGAGATGTTTATATTGGGAAGGAAGAGAAGTGGAGAATTCGGAGAACAGAGGACAGATGAATTGTTCCTCTGGGGAGAAGAGGAGCTGAAGACCTTTTGGGAACTAATACCTCTGTGAAGGACTGGTTTTAGGGACCGACCAAGCGACACCTGCACATCTTAGGAGCAGAGAGCGGTTCCGCAAGCTGACAGTGGCAGATCCTGAAACGCACGCTCCTGATCTGGCGAAGTGCTGGCTCTGGGTTACATGCTGGGGCCTCAGGTGTGGCAGTCACCACACTGGAGCTGACCCTTGACCCCCAACCCCTGAGCCACTGCAACTCACACTGACACTCTTGACACTGCATGAGCCCATTTGTGGTCTCTATGTCAACCTGTGCTCCCCTTCCAGGTGGCGCCGGCTGTCTGTGGGCCGTGTTCTGGTTCCTCTTGGTATCAGATGACCCTCGGTCTCACCGGCGAATCAGCGAGCAGGAGAGGGATTACATCACTCGAACCATCGGCACAGAGGTCACTGCTCTGGCTGTGTCTGTCTCTTCTGAGTCTGTCTGTTCTGACCCCCCAGTTTCTCTCTCTCTCTCTCTCTAGCTGTGTGCCAGTCTCTCTCTCTCTCTCTCTGTATCCACTAGCTCTGCGCCAGTCTGTCACTCTGTGGGCTCACCCCCTCCCCCTTGCCCCTCTCTCAGGGTGGGTCCCACGGCTGGTCAGTGCCCCTGGTGCCCATGCTGCTCTCCCTGCCCCTGTGGTCCATCATCATCGCCCAGATCTGTGCCAACTGGTCCTACTACACCCTGCTGACCTCCCTGCCCACCTACATGGACACCATCCTGCGCTTCAACATCGGGGAGGTGAGGCAGGGCGCGGCCGCGCAGTGGGGCTGGCAGCCGGGGTCAGGGGGTCAGTATCGGGGAGTCACTGCGTCTCTCCCTCTCTCTGGGCAGAACGGGTTCCTGTCCGCTCTGCCCTACCTGGGCGCCTGGCTGTCGGCGGTGCTGTCCGGGGTGCTGGCTGACTGCCTCCTGGAGAGGGCGCTGCTGAGCACCACTGCTGTGCGCAAGATCTTCACCCTTACAGGTAGGAGCAGGGGCAGAGGAAGTCCATCTCACCCCCCTTCCCCCCAGGCCGGGGGAGACGGAAGGCGAGAAGTGGTTTGGATTAGGGGTTAGAGATCCTTTTTACTGTGAAACTGCCTAAGTGCTAAAGCGCTGCTTGTGTGATACCAGTTGTGTCCACCAGATGTCAGCCTTACACAGCTGTAATGTGGGCGTCATTTCAATTCAAGAAGCTGTACTGGCAAGACCAATGAATTTCCGTGTTGCCAAAGCACATACAATGAACACAACATCTACTGACATTTACAATACAGACACTGTTTTTATTAAGAGACAGACTCACTTTTCCTCAGGCTGTGACAGGAGATCACATACTGGGCTGACAGCTGAGTTCAGCTGAGTTCCCTCCTCCCTCTCCCAGTAGGATTGGGATTCCTTGTGATTCTGGAAGGTGTGGGAATTCTGGGATTAGATTCCTGAATTTAGGGAAGAATGTTTCTCTAATCCCAGAATATCTGTCACAGTGTCTGTCTCTATTTCTCCCCGCTGGCAGTGGGAGCACAGCCTGTCCTCTCTGGACAGCCAGGTCCGCCTGTGTCCAGTCTCTCTGGCCAGGCTGTGGGCACTGAGCCTGTCCTCTCTGGGCAGCCAGGTCTACCTGTGTCCAGTTTCTATGGCCAGGCTGTGGTCATTCTGTGTCTCTCTCTACCTTCAGCTCCTCTTCTGTCTTCTTTCTCCCATTCCTCTGTCCCTCATTTCCATTGTATTGCACTGGGTTTAAACTCCTCTCTCTCTGTCAGTATTAGTGCACACTCACACTGCAGATCACTTTATTGGCTGTTTACATTTTCTTGTATGAGGAATCTGTCTTTTCACATACCCCAGCTTGCTCTCCATGAGACACACAGACAGAGAGAGAAGCTGGGGGTCAGAGCGCAGGGTCAGTCATTTATACAGCGCCCCTGGAGCAGTTGGGGTTAAGGGCCTTGCTCAGGGGCCCAACGGAGTAGGATTCCTCTGCCGGCCGCGGGATTTGAACCGGCAACCTTCCAGCCACAGGCGCAGATCCTGAGCCACTCTGCCACTCTGCCCCTCTCTCTCTGTAGTGTGTGAACCCTGCTCTCTCCTCAGGAATGTTGCTGCCGGCGGTGTTCCTTGTGGCTGTGGGGTTTATCGGCTGTAACAGCATGGCGGCAGTGATCTTCCTCACCTTGTCCTCCAGCCTGGGAGGGAGCAGCTCAGCCGGAGTCTACATCAACCAGATCGACATCGCACCTCGGTCTGCTCTGCTCCCCCCAGCACCCCGTCTCTCCCTCCCTTTTCCAGCTTTGACCATGGAAATCTTTGGCTCCAAAGATCAAAATCTTTGATAAAAATTAAAAAATAAACCTTTGTTTTTCTCTCAGATATGCAGGAGTGTTGTTAGGAATAACAAACACCTTTGGGACAATTCCTGGGATCGTGGCACCCATTGTGGTGGGGTATCTGACTACAGAGGTAACCAGTGTCCTCTCGCTGACCTCTCGCTGACATCACACTGAATCACGCTGACCTCACGCTGGCCCTCGATGCCCTGCGTGAGGCTGAAGTCCCTCTCTCCCTCCCTCTCTCTCAGCGTTCACTCGCGGGGTGGAGAGAAGTGTTCTACCTCTCGGCCGCGATCAACGCTGCAGGAGCTCTGATCTTCTCGGCGTTCGGCAGCGGGAAGATTCAGAAGTGGGCGCTGGACACACGTGGACAGACACCAGGAGGCTCGCCCGCGGAGCAAGACTGAAGGGCCCCAGGCTGGCGGGAGGGGAAGCAGGGTCCTCGAGTTCGAATCCAGCACTTGGCTGTGACTCCACACACACTGTATCGCTCTGCTTCTAGTTCTGTCTGACATATTATAACTTATCAAGACCTGGACCTCCTTCTCCCTGGTCAGCCGGACAACTAGACTCCCTGTCTGAGCAGGGAAGCGTCTGCCTTTAGCCCATGGACACAGCAGCTCTGGAAACGGGTCTTAATCAGGCCTCTTTTTAAAGTAATTGCAACTTTAAAATCACCTCAATGAATTTTTCATTCTGATTTACCCGTGTAGTTAGATAGCGCTTGTCCCTACAGTGCTGAACTGCAGTGAGGGAGAGCTGGTGGTCATTTACACGAACCTGTGGGAAACCTTTGCAGAATTATTACTGTGATAAACGCACTGTCCTCTTGCGGCACAGCGCCTCCTATAGGGCAGGCAAGGTCCTCCCAGTCTCGCTATACCAGAGATCCAAAGGCCTTCTCCAGGTGTCAGCAACGCGGAAATTAAGTTCAAGATGCAGATTTTATAAGTTTTCTGCTTCAGTGAAGTGAAGACGTCAGGGGAACATTGCTAGTCAGAGATCGAAGAGCACACAGAGCCTGTCTGGAGATACTGGGAGGGGATGATTTTGTGTTTATTAATTAGCACTGTAATTAACTGGTCATGCCAGTAAAGCTCTTTGAATTTCTATTGAGAGAGAGTCCTCTTCCTCACTACTGGTGCAATGGAGTTTAGTTTCAGTAGGGTGGGTGTTTTTATTAGGGAGATTAGTTTACAGATTATTTTAATTATTATATAAAGATATTCAGAATTTGCACTTCAAACATTTATCTAAAGAACTTTTTAAAAAACATTCTGAAAAGGCACTTTAACCCTCACAGCCACAGACACTGTCCAGACAGGCTGGGGGTGTCGAGCCTGGGAGACGCGGGTTCGAGGTGTGGAGCCCTGTCTGTCCTGGCTGGTCTGGAGGCCGAGCTTCTGAGGCCGAGCTCTCTAGGGCTCTCAGACGCCAGCCGGGCTCCTGGATGGCTTGTGGCACTAAAGGGCACTGCAGCACTGTTGCTATTTTCTGTCCAAGGGAACAAGTGAAGGTTTATTCCTGCTGAAAAGAGAAGAAAAGAACGTTTCGGCTGTGGAGTCTTCTTCGGCTTCTTCGAGAGGGAAGTATAATCCTCTCGTGATTTCCTCTCTCGCTCCACAGCCAAAACATTGTTTCTTTTCTTCTCTTCTCAGCAGGAATTAACCTTTACTTGTTCCTCTGCAGCCTACGCATACTGACGCAGCTCCCCACCTGAACTCCTTCATGCACAATGTGTGTTGGTTCCTGGGAACATCTGTTGTTCTTCTGTGACTTGATTGTCTCTGTATTACAGCCTTTAACTCTTCACACTTGTTTCCTGATTCCTCTGTGCTGTTGTGACTTACTATTCCTCTCCTCTCCTCTCCTTCACTCTGTCACAGTCCAACCAGCTGTCCTGGGTTGAGCTGTATTTGCACTAGTTTCTGTGCTGTGGACTTGTGTTAGCTCTGTAGCTTGGGCCCTTCTGCTGTACAGCATTATTCTACAGCTCAGACTCTTTGGTCTCAGCAAACCTGTTTGTCTTGTCAGCTGAGGTCTCTTGTATCTCTAAAACTGGAATTTCGGGAGAGGCTGTAGGATGCAGCCTCGGGCACACAGACACACAGACCCACACAGACCCACACTGGGACACACTGGGACACACTGGGACATGCTCCTGCTGAGGCCAGTTCCCAGACTGAATTTATTAGTTTCTGGCAAATTGTTTTCTCAAAATATCCTGACTTTTAAGACCCGCTCATCTGTACCTGCTGCCGCACAGCTCTCTGGGGCTCCTCAGGAAGACCAGGCTGGAGGAGCAGGATTCAGGAAATACCAGGGGAGTCTAACCCACTGCCCGATGTGTCTGAGGTCACTGCAGGCAGAGCTGCTCCACCCCTCAGGCCTGAGACCCTGCTGGCTTTGCGCCGGACACAGGAAAAGTGGACAAGACTCCATCTGCACCTGCTGGGGGCAAGCAAGCTCTGAGGAGCAAAGCAGTCGCAGAGCTGCCAGTGACAGAGCCTGAAGTTCAAGTTCAAGTTTATTGTCATTACACTCATATACATGGTATATGGTATAACGAAATGGTATTTAGCTAGCTCTCGGAGATAAGTAGTACAAAGAGAAAAAAAACACAACAACAACAATACAATTGTGTAGCAAAAGAAAGACGGAGACAACAGGCAGTGTGCAAAAAACAACAACAGATGATGTGCAAATAAACAACAACAGGCAATGTGCAAAAAACAACAACAGGCAATGTGCAAAACAACAAAAAAGTAACAGGTTATGTGCAAAAACATGCATAAACAGAATGAAATAAAGGGATAGAAATTACGGGGAGTGAGCTTTTGACATGTATGGTAGAGGTAGATTTTCAATGTGTGTTTGGGTTTTGGTAAGAAAGAAAGAAGGC